GTACATTGGTTGGTGGAAACACTAACAGAAACCACTAACCAGCACTAGAACTGATCACTATAATACTGAGATACATAAGCACAAAAGAAAAAGGAGATACTGGCAAAGCATTTGTAAAGCAACTTGCTCAAACAATCTTGAAAGCCCCCCCCCCCACTTCCAAACACAACAAATTCCCGATTCCGATTCCACAGGATCTGGAACCAACGGACGCGCGGCGCGGACTGCGGCGACGCGGTGGCGGACTGGCTCTCGCAGCTGCTCTACAAGGGCGAGACGCGCGTGCGACTCCTGTACCAAGGCGGCCTGGTCAAGGACCGGCCCGCCAGGAAGCCAGACTACTTCGAGTTCCCGCAGTTCAGGGCGTCGGACAGGGTGAGGGAGGCGGCGCCGGAACCTGTGGTGGTGATGGGGGCGGGAAGGAAATATTTGGTTGTGTATGAGGAGAAGAGGATGTCATGTATCTAGTTGCTGTTAGTCTCATCTTATTATTGGCTTTTTTCCCCCTAGTTATTGGTTCTATTTATTATGCCAGATTCTCTCTTCTGCCTTTCTTTTTCTCTTTCCTCTCTTTGGTTCACTTCCTATCAGGTCCGTTCAATGAGCTCTGCCACGGATCCTCTAGGCTTTCCAGCTCTAGCACAAGCGACAGCATGGCCGCCCCAGCATCTGAGGTCCAGAGACGGATCCGAGGAAACTTTTCACATTTCGGGTTGCAGTGAAGCATTGTGCTGCCTGGTGCATCATAGTGCTTACAAGAGCACTCTGTAGGCCAGTGGCCGGAGGTGGATCTAGTCCCGAGTCAAACTGTCCTTTGAGCCTTCAGGGCCTTCCTTCAGAGCCGTGGCTGAACTAATCTTCAACCCAATCTTTTTGTTTGGGATAATAAAATTGCTACAGATCCCGTTGAAACTGCCACGGAATATTCTCAGTCAATCAATCAGCGGGGCTAACGCCAAAGGGGTGCGTAGCCACATCCACCTTTCACTTACAGTCCCTCATGGCAAGCTGCCAGACAGGACCATCTCTAGCTCCTCACAACAGGCCTAGTCGAGCTGTCTCTTGGGATAGCCATCAGTTGGATAGATGGTCCTGTCAACTGTTCCCAGTGATCCGGCATTGGGCATTAGGATATGACTCTAAAGCACTAGATAATGTCCAGGTTTCACTTCCATGAGTCAAAACTGGAATGGCAGAATTAAGTCTTGAAGAAATTTAGCTTGGTCCTTCTGCACAGGTAGTGGCATCTCTAAATACTCTTGCTGACTGAGTACATGGCTCCTGCTGCCAGACCAATCCAGCTACTGACTTCCTGGTCTGACAGCCTAGAGTCATGGACTACACTGTCACTGCCTCTGTGACTTCAATGTCCTTGCCGTAAGCATGTATTGACTGAACAGTTCCCCTAACAAGCCTCCCAAATCCTGGATCTTAGTCTTAGTCCAGGAGGCCTCTAGACCCACAGTCTTTGCCTCATTATGGAATGCGTCAAGAGCTGCCACCAACAATTCCAGAAACTCAGATAGGATATTGTCAGTAGATTCAAGGTCAGTGACTTTGATATTGCATAGTGTTGCTCCACAATGACTTTGGATAGTAGCTCCGCCCATAATCCACTCCATGCAAGTGTTGAAAAGTATTGGCGCAAAAACATGCCATACCCACTGTAATATAAGTTTATTTAATGTATTTACACACGGATGGCTCTACAAGTGCTTAATTACCACCTGATTACTCTTTTCCTGGATCGTTTGTATTATATCATTGTCTTAAATGTTACCAAGATTTTAACCCATTGCCACCAGGGAAAATGAACGAAAAATGGGGGAAATGCAGTACTCATTTTTTATATTTTTGTGAAATATCTCCTGATTTCACCTTTCCTTGAATTGGCGGGAAAAAACGTATTTTTACTAGTGCTACAAATATAGATGGTGTTATTTTTAACAGCAAATTAGGATAGCGTTAAATATTTTCATAAATCGATGAAAAGGGTGAACGGGCGAGACATGCAGTACTCGTAATTGGCTCATTGGATACTTAGTACAAGTGTAGCCATCTATGTGTAAAAACAATCGAACAAGTCGACTCAAAGTGGGCATGGCATGGGTTAATAACAGTTAAATAATTGCAACATCAATAACAACAATAGGAGTATCGATATCAATTGTATTAAGAAGAAAACACATCCTCCCCCTAATTCAAGGAATGGGAAAATCAGGATCGGTCAATAGGGCATACTGATAGACTCCTTGCCGGCTGAGCACATCTGTGTGTAACAAAATTCACAATGAACTATATGGAACAGAATATTAATCTGTGGTTGTTGGGTTAAAAGAGAAGCTTGACAGGCCTCCACAACACTTTACAGTACTCTATGTACTAGTATATAGTATATAATCCTTGTTGGAATTCCCCTAAGTCTCAGAATCTCCCATAGTTACACAGACACTTTCTTGATGGCATCCCATAGTGACTCCACAATCTATTGTGGACTTGCCAGGAGTGAATCCAGGTTGCTCCATTCTCTGCTGCTTTAGTTGATGGTCACTGATCCATCTCGGAAGAATGTGAGCAAAAACCTTGCCTGGTATGCTGATGCCATGGTATATGATACGTCTTCCAGAGGGGAACGACCATGCCCCTCAACAGGTCTGAGGGAATCGAACCAGGCTGCCAGATGGTAGTCAGGACAGTATGCAAGCCCCATGTTATAGGTTCACTACCAGCCTTTATTAGTCCACTAAGGACACTGCATGTGCCTGAAGTTTTCCCACCCTTCAGCTTAGAGATCGCGTCCCTAATCTCAACCAGGGTAAGAGGTTTCTTACTGATGGGCAGAGGTGTTGTGAGATCGCCTGCATCCAAACAAACTACTGGAGAATCTATCTGATACAGCTACTTAAAATACTCCAATATTTACGAACCCCAACGTGATCTGAGATCCATCCATCCAATGAATGGACTGCAGACATCTGTAAGGAAGCTCTGAGTTCAGTTTCCTCAGGCTTGTTAGGCAGGACGAAGCAGTTAAGAAATGGCCTTCAACCTCATTAGCAAAATTCCTGATGTTCTGTTCCTCGCCCTTTGCACTAAAGAATGGCAGAAATCCCAATAGCCATTCGAGCCACAACCAGTTTGTGGTCAGTACCGCAGAAGTCAGCACTCAGCACAGTTCTGGAGGATCCTCCAGTGAGTGATAACAAGGATGTGGTCAATTTCCTTGACCACAGTACCGTATCACTATATCATGTACAGCAATGCGAGTTGGAGCACTGATACCAGAAGCCAGAAATCCTCAGTCTCTGGGTCCCAGCAAAGCCCCGGAGAAGGAGGCTTTTCTCGTTGCTGGGATCAGCTCCCAGGACAATGTGAATGTCTCTCCAGGGCTAGTTGTCTGCCACAGATGTAAGTTTACATATCTGTAGGAGTGGATACAAAGCCAAAAGCATGCTTCAGTCTCAGTGCCATAATACACTTGTCAACTGGAGTAACCTCCACTAATGAAAGTTGAAGTCAGCTGGAAATGGCTATGGCTACCCCCTGGAGATGGTAACTCATTGTCCACCTTTGGTACCCCCCCCCCCCAACAACTGAAAATTATATTGATTATGTCTCGAATGTAAGACTAAAGGGGAGAGTTCCAGGGAATTTCAGAATAGTACAATTGTTCCTAATGGGTTTATAGGCCTGTATATGTATATGTATAGATACATGCATTATATGTGTGATATATATATATAAACAATGTAACTACTAAAAATGACCTTTGCCGAAGTCTAGAAGCCAAAGGCATTACTTGCTGCAGGACTATCATAAATACATCACTTTCATTTTTTGTCATCCACTCACCCCCTCACCCACACCGAGCCAACAAGGGAAGCTTTCTTAGCAACCACGGCAAAAGTGCAATTAATGCCTGATGCTGATGGCAACTGTGGGACTTGTACGATGCCAATGAGGCTTCGAAATCTTGACCATGGCCTAGTCGAGGAGACCTGACCAAGCTTGGATTAGGCTGCCTGTCTTGCCAGAATAAGCAGACCAGGAACCAACCAGGCACGTTGTAGCCACTGGGCGTACTCGTGCAGGAGTCACTTCTGCATGCGGCAAGCACACCAATCAATTCGTCCATCATCCCCGAAGACTTATCCTGCAGCGCCGCCGCCGCAACGGGAGAGAGAGGAGAGCCCTCCCAACTGGCTCTGTTGTCCACTTCTTTCCTCTCCCTCGGCGGCTCTGATGTGCAGACGTTTGCGCCTTTAGTGTGGCTTTCGAACCTTTGCTGGATGGTCCAAACAGCCACCTGGGAGAGCGGATTTCTCTGGCACGTTTGTCTCTTCTGCTTTGCTCGTTTTCTTCCTCTCTTCCTCAACTGCACCTACACCTCGTCTTACAATATGCTCCTCTGTCCTCTCCTTTCGTTAGTAACGTTTCCTCTTTTCTTCATTCCCTTCCTCCTCTTCCAGGTCCTATATGCCGACACGAGCTCGTTCATGGTAGCGTCCCAGTCGTCGCTGGACGACCTGAACGGCCGCCTGGCGGAGCCCGTGTCCATGGGGTGGTTCCGGCCCAACGTGGTGGTCCGCGGCGCCAAGCCCTTCGACGAGGACGACTGGGCCTTCCTCAAGATCGGCGACGTCGTCCTCAGGAGGGTCAAGCCCTGCGAGAGGTAAGGGGAGGAAAAGGAGGAAGGGGGAGCTGGGAATAAGAGAGGGGGAGAAAGAAAACGAGGACGACTACCTATGGTTACATTTCAAAACATTGCCTAGGGTGTAGCAAGAACTAATCTGAGTGACTTGCAAAGGTCGACTGAAATTTGTCCATTCTTTAATGGAGAGGAACTCGGAAGAGGCTAGCATTTTCTCCTTATCTAAGTGTACGCAAGTGCATGTACATGCGTTAGTATCTTTGCAAACATCAAACTGGTGTGGTAGAAAATAAAATAAAATAAATACTGACAGTTATCTGAAGCCTTCACAAGACGTTTTAGAAAAGATCTAACTTATATAAGAATGTTGCATGTTTTGTCTGAGTTAATGGTCAAAGAAGTATTAAAGTATTACGGCAATAAGCGTTGTTCACTGACTCTGCGTATTACAGAAAAGCAAGCCGATATAGTATTTATGTTTGCTGACAGAATTGTAATGTAAGATTATTCATGGTCTGGGGATATAGTGTCATGCAGACACAGTCGCACACATTTTTTTCTTATTACGTTATTATTATCATTATCATCATGGTAGGCCATATAAGAAAGAGAAGATAGTAAATTATCCGATATTTACGTAGTACAAATATATTAGCTGATCTTTTGAACTTATTGGCTTGCATCAAATATCACTGAATTGAGGCTCACAGAACTTGGTTGAGAAAATCAGGTAAAAACATTCAGAGGGAACCACGAGTTATCGGTCACAATCTTGCGTAAGACTGGAAGAGCCCCATATCCCCGCGATGCCCAGTGTCCAAAACTAAGACAGGAGAAATTTATTGGAATTAAAAGAACGACCAAGCAGTCGTAAGTGTGACTCTGCAACTGATAAGCACACTGGAGAATAAAAAGAGGCAAAATAAAAGAAAAAAGTATCAACGAGTAATGTTGTCTTCTTCATAAATCTTCTTGCACTTTCGAATGATGCCTCACTTACAAGAAGCTCCTCGGGCCGTATTCCTCATCTGCAATTCAAATGTAAGATTTGAATCAAGAGCTAAGAGCTTCAGCTTATCCACTGAACAACATTGTAACACCATAGACCCGATTAATTAAAACCATAAATGTAAACATTTTCTGTTTTCGCAAAGAACTCAGAAAATAAAATGGTATGGTTCAAAATAGGATATACAGATAATATTCAAAACCAAGCAGAGCCTGATATCATATCACATCCTGTAATACGGCATAAGATTGCATCAAATGCAGAGAAGCTTTCACGAAGGTCCCTCGCCAGGTGCCTGCTGACCATCGTGAACCCGGCCACCGGAGAGAGGCATCCCCAGCAGGAGCCGCTGACCACCCTCAAGACGTAAGTAGAAGGAAGGGGGGGTAGGGGGCTGGAACGAGAGTAGGAAGGGGAGAAGGAGACAAGGGAGGGACTAAGTGGGAGAGAAGACAAAAAATAAGATTAAAATAAAAGGAAAGGGAAAATAGTCAATAGGAGAGACGGGGAAGAGAAAATAGGAAATAAGAGGGAGAGAGAAGAAGAAATAAGAAATAACCGAGAGAGGAACATAGAAAATAGGAATCAATAAAAAAGGGAAGAAAAAACAGGAAATAAGAGGGAGAAGGAGGGAAATATAAGGAATAAGCGAAGGAGAAGTGAAAATAGTATTTAAGAGGGAAAGAGGTACCGAACCTAGGAAATGAGAAATATGAAAGAGGAGGAATAGAGGGAGAGAATGAGAAATATGACGGAGAGAGGGATAGAAAATAGGAAACATGAAGTAGAAAGGAGAAGCAGAGAGAGGTAATGTCAGAAAGGGAGGAAGAGCAAGGGCGGAGAGAGGAAGAGAAAAAGAGGGAACGAGAGAAATGAGAAGGAAAGAGGTAGAGAGGGAGATAAAATGGAGAATGAAAGTTAGAGAAAAGGAGACAAAAAATAAACAGGTGGATAGAAACGAGAAAAGTGAGAGGATATTTAGCAATTCAGAGAGGTGTGGTTGAGAGGCATCGCAGCATTCTGTTGATGCTCCAGCTCACAGCAGCAGCTGGGAGATAAACACAGAACCCGTGACGTTTCGAGTCAAAATGAACCTGTCTTCTAAGCGGGAAGCTTTCGAGGAAGTGAAGAAGACAATAACTCTAACGTCTTTTTTTCTTGTCTTTTTGCGGCTGTGCCTTTTGCTCACGCGTTCGCACCCCCCCAGGTACCGCTGCCCACGCGGCCCCCCGAGCCTGGCGAAGGCGTGGGCCCAGAAGCCGGTGTTCGGGCTCCAGTGCGGCACTGAGCGGGGCGGCGCCATCAGGCTCGGAGACAAGGTCCAGGTGGTGAGGGCGTCCAGGCACCCCGAGTACCAGCTGATGCACATGTGAGCGGAGGCGAGGACGGAGGCGGCCGGGCGCCCGGCACCAGGGCGTGGACGCGTCGTTTCATTATTTCATTACTCTTATTGTTGTTGTTGATATTATTATCCTTATAGTACCATTATTAGTTTTACCATTGTTACTATTAGTAGTATTAGTATCTTTATTATCATTACTGTTATTACTATGATCATTACTGATACTCTTGTTATTATAATAATTATTGCTGTTGGTATTTTTACTATAACGTCATCACCATTGGATTTGTTATTACAGTTAATCCAAGTTGTTGTGTTGTATATTCCTCTTGTTGTTTTATATTATCCCTATAACTACCGTTGTTATTTTTGGCATTACGATCACAGTATGAATGGCGTTTCAACCGCTATTGGTTTCATCGCCTTGGTGATCTACTGTGATGTGAAATGAATGTCAGAATATAGTGAATAAATGGTGTAATTCGACAAGGCAGTAAA